TGGCGGCCGGGAGCAGGAGACTCCCGGGGCGCCAGGGAGAGTTTGCTGTTTGGAGATCAGTGTCCCTGGTTAGCAGTTAACCAGGGACGCTGATCTCACTGCGAGTGGCCGGAGCCAGCCGTAAGATCACGGCTGGCTCCGCCCAGCTGTGAGAAGCAGGCCGAGTGGCCGGCCAATGGTCTACTGAACCGAAGGGGTCCTGGGGCCGAAGGATCGGCCGAAACTACGGCCAGATCATTCGGCAGCTTCGTGAATAGACCCCAATGTAATTAACTAAGGGATCTAACTAAGCATTATTTGTATATGCTGTTAGAAGTAATCAAGTGTAAAAATAGACCTTCTGCAAAGTTTTCAAACTGCATAATGCTTAATTTAAATGAATAGATGAATAGAGATTTAGAAGGCAGGTTGAAACAAGTTTGTAGTTCCTGAAGAAGAGAGAACAGCAACGTCAAAGTGTTCTTATGGATAATACCCATGAAGTGGAAAGGGGAATTCTGTAAGGTAGAATTAAACTCTTGGGTTTTTTTGCATATATCTTCTGCTAGCACGCAGTAGATATATGCAAAAACATTTTAAAACTTTTTTTTTTAAAGTTACCAAAAAGGTAATTACTTACCTGTGTCTCCGTTGCTTGCTCCCGTCAGAAGATCTGGCGCTTCTCAAGCAGAATGATGGGGTGGGCGCATGCGCAGTAGAGATCTTCAGCTGGGAGAATAGGAGAGACACAGTGGAGGTGAATGCATGCAGCCGGGAGCGCGCACATTGGACAGATGCCGTGGGAGATAGAAGACACAGCAGTTAGCGCTGGATCAGAGACCGGCATCAGTGCTGGAGGGATTGCTGAATACAAGTGGAAGGAAGAAGATGATCGGATCAAGAGGCATCATTTATGATAAGTCCTTTTTTACTTTTCTATCACTTTTTTCACTTATTTATTGCTATCTCACAGGAACTAACAGGTGCCAATGTGATAGCATTTGGAGGTGACAGGTTCTCTTTATGGAGACATCTGGGGTATTTTAGATCCCAGATGTCTCCCCTGGCCTTGCATACAGAGAATCGATGATAAGTTGTATAAACCACTTCAAAATCAGGACGTTTATGAATGTCCAGCAGTCCAGAATATGTTAACTAGCATATTGCCGTGTGATGGGCAAGACTGGATGGTGTTTATAAGGAGGAAGTCATTGGAGATTTCGCTGAAGTAAGGTGGAACCTAGTTTTACAGTACATTTAAATATCCATGGTATGGGCCATTGGGGCTAGTAGGTTAAATATTTTAATCAAAAGTATAGTTGACCAAATAGGAGTTAGAACAGGTTGGTTAGATTCATAACCTCTCAATCTCTGACCATTGACGAAGCTTCCATTTTCGTTAGATGGAGCTTGTAACCTGATAGGCATGAAATCTCATAGTAATGGTTTAGTAAGTATTAGCTTGCATTGATAATATCAAAGTTGTGATATGTGTAGATTCTTGGATATAGACAGCAAGTGGTTTCATGAATAGAAAAAAGAGAAATTGGGACAATGGGCAACCTTGTCTGGTGCTATTGTGTAACAGGATGGAACTGGAAAAAGTATAGGAGAAGTTACTTGAGGTAGAAGGAATGGAATATAGATTTTGAATATCAGAGAGGAAAGGGCTGTGTATACCTATGTGCTATAATGTCTACAGCTAAAAAAGGCTAACTAAAGAGCACTAACTAAAGAGCATAATTTTATGTTTCAAAGCTCCTTTAGGAAGGAGAATTGCATAAAAGTACTTTCCTCCTCTACACAATTGAAATTTAAACTTGAGATGCGTACAATGAGCCCATCGTACCTGCTATGTATTTCAGTTTTTTATCCAGCGTTCACGAAGTACACAAGTGTACCCCCCTCCCCCTTTTTGCTGTTAATGTGGTGATTCTGAAATGTACCTGGTAGTGATGCTGGAACACTGCCTCTTACACACAGAATGCCTGATGCCATCCATGGCTTACAGCCAACAATCAGATCCAAAACTATCTTGGAAGTTTGAAAGTGCTTGGTAATCCAAGAAGCAGAGATAGCTATTAGTAGGCACAACTCTACTGACCCTTTGAGGAGGTCTGTGCATTCTGTGGATATAGTGGAATGCTGCTCAACTACCAAACTGCACTGGAAGCTAATTGACTGATTTTACTTTATGCATGGAACTGCACTTTACATTTTTGCTTCAACAACTTTCAGGCTAACATGGTTAAAAATGGAATTGTACTATATAAATCAGAAGCAAAATATATTAAAAAAGGTTGCTATGTGGTTTCAAAATATACCCAAAATATACTATGGGAATGTAAAGCCTAAATAAAATAGTATAGATAGCCACAGAGAGAGCTTGTTATTTTTATTGTATATGTCATAATATTTTAGCTTTGGTTCATGAATATGTCAAATGTTATTCAAAATATAGAAGCTTGAGTGTTGAGCTGTCCATGAGACATGTCTCTCTGTCTTTTTGTATATAAGAACATATTAGGGGAATAGATGAAGCTATTTGTCAGCTAGCCTTGCATTATTAAGGTTTATTTGTTCCACATATTTGTTGGCTCTTTTGAACCAGTCGAGAAACTCTTTCATTTGTCTAATTTATAAGCTTTCCCAGGCTTGCATTCTAGTAGTTTAGAAGTGTCACCAGCAATAACTATGAAAAATTGCAGTGTGCATCTTGCTCTCCTTTTCTTTTTGCAGCTTTACAGTCTATCCCAACTACCAAAGGGACTTCAGCTTCAAGATGTAACAAATCTAATTTAACCCTGCTGAATTTCAGTATCTGTGCCTAATGGTCATTTTGTAGAGCTTAAACACATTTGAACTTGTGCTGAATCATTTATAGTCTAAAAAAATGAAGTAAAAAGATAAAAGTATTGTATTTAAAGTAAGAGACAACACACACCTGCAGTGCTGAATTCATAATTTAAGTGCTTTCAGAAAGTCTATGGTGGTTTAGTCACATTAAACTGCTCCAGGGACTTTGTAAGCCCAAGAACTTGTTTGAAGTAAAATGATTCGTTTCATGATTTTACATGTCCCTTTGCAAGCTTTTTTCTGTGCTTGATAAGCAATTAGAATGTTCTGCTTATCATGCTTTTTCTGCTGATCATGCTCATCCTCTTCTTCTGGGTACCAGGTGAGAACGCTAACTACAGGTTCTAACTGATGTAGCAGCATTGGCAGCCAGAGATGTGTACTCTCACATTTTGACTATAGGATGTAAGCTGATGCATAGAGTTTCTGTAGTCTACTCTGGTCTACCTGTAATGACCTAGACAGCCAGGTCTGCCCATAGTCTCCGCCTACACACCTTAGAGATCTGAGCTCTTTTGCACATTTGTAGTATCTTGAGGTAACTTGGAAGCAATTAAGACATATGCTTTAAAGCAGAACTATATTCCTTCGTTGGAAATGACATTTTCTCCCCAGCTTTTTCTGGGTTTGAAATCTTCAGGCATCTTGATTGGCCTGTCTGGGATGATGTAATTCCAGGTTTAAGTATGGGAGCTCATTCATTCCAGCATTGAAGCATGTCAAGAATGTAAAAAATGCAGGAAATAATGTTTTATTGCAGAAGAGACATCCTGGGGTTGATTTGCTAAAGACCTTTAACTTTTCAAGAGAATTTGCACTTTGCACGATAGTTTACCCTTACCATAGTGAATGTGGTGAAAATTTGCTTAGCAAAAAAAACCAACTAATCACATGCAAGGAAAAGGAAAAAAACCCAGTAGAATTGCTTGCACATAATTAGATGAGAGAGGTCACCAGAGCTCATTCACTGTGCTAAGGGAAAATTCCATTGCAAAGTTAAAATGCCCTTGCAAAGGGAACAACCTATTTGCCTTTAGTAAATCAGCCCCATGACGTCTGCAATAAAAACCCTGCCAGCTTTTAATGTTTTTCTTTTAAACTCACGTTCCACTTTAAGATGACCTCATTTTGGACTATAATGGAAGTTCATAAAGAATCTCAATCAGTAATAAGTAATTTTTCAAAAGAACTTCTTAAATGTTTAAATAACTGAAAATATGAATGTAAAAAAATGAGTACAAAATACAATTTTATAAATCAGTTCTCAGTAAATAGTATATATCGGTAATAGTAATATATAGTATAAATCAGTTTATATCGGTAATATCAATCGGTAATAGTAGTATAAATCAGTTATCCAGTTCTCACTTTATTTTGCAAATAAGTTTTTGCCAACACTTTTTTTACACAATAATTGTAAAGATGTTTTGCAAAGTATTTGTTTCAACTTTGTTTATTATGCTGCATTTTCAATGCATCCATTTCTAGAAGAGATGTAAAAGTAAAGCATTTTCAGAAAGTATTTATACATGATATACCTTTAGGCAATTAAAAGATAATATGCTGCAGGCACAGCTGGCAAGCGTACAAATACCATCTGTTATGAGCAACTATTTCAAGCCTTTAATATTTGACTGTGTTGGAGTACAGGACAATATGGCAACAGAATATGTCCTTAATAAGCTGATATACCATGTTAAAATTATGCATACAAATATTTGATATTATTTGTGTTCACTATTTTATTAAGAAGAATATAAATAATGCAACTAGCAGAAAATGTTCTTTGTTATCAGGAATCAAAAGTAAGAATACAAAGGAAGTAAAACTGACTCTTCACTAATGAGCAATAAAGTATTCAGCTTGAAATAAAATTATGTTTTGTATTATACAAAAGTGCTGAACTATAACAAGAGCAGGCACCAGATAAACCAGACCAAGCGACTATGAAATAGGATTACAATCTATTACGAATCCTATAAATAGTACAAACATCAGTAGGCCTCCTGGTCACATTAAGACAGCATTCAGCCCTTTCCAATAAGCAAGAACTGTTTTCTAATTGTGTATAGTGGAATACATGATATTGACATGAATTACAGGTCAAAGACACGCATTAGCTATTTCATTTCTTCAAGATAAAAGGCTAACTTTTACTACTGTACCTTTTAAATGTAATTGTGGTAAAATCCCTTCTTTTTTCCGTTTCCAATTCAAATTCTGATCTCCTACCTACACAATATAAAGATAAAAAGCATGTAACATGTATATACTATATATATATATATATAAAATATATATATATAATTACTACATAATTCTTTAAAAAAAATGAACTTCTAAGTATGGCTTTGGCTCCTGTGATTTATTTGATACATACCATTAAAAAAGCCACAGTACAAATATTCATATATTTTGAAAATGTTTTTCCTATTTTTACTATAACCACTGCTGTTTCTATTTTTGTGTCAGAAGATTTTTTAAGTCAATGAAGTTGACATGTAACAAGTATTCACAGGTATGCATCAATGTGGGGGACAAATAATCAGGTTGAAAAATTACCATGGCCTTATTATTCTAAGTATTCTTAAATACATTAATAAAATAAGGTAATATCTAATCAATGTGTCTTTGAGAAATATTTCACAGTTAATTGTACATCTTTCTCAAATATTAAGATTACTACTTTCATTTCATTAACTGGTTGATTATGGCAATGTCAACACTACCTTTCCTTTAGCTCTACTGCTATGAACAATGCTGTAAGTCTAAATTTGTGAACATGCATACTAAATGGGAGAGCAGAGGCATGCCCTCATTAGTGTGCTACTGCTTATTTATTGTACAAACCCCAGCAAGAGCACCACACCCTTACTATTCTTTAAATACATATACATAAAACTTTAATACTTTATTAATGTGGCTTAAAGGAATCCATAACACACAATCCTAATTTACTTTTCTTGGTAGATGGTATTAAATAATACATTGCAAACAGAAAATCTACTATACAAAGTACAGTAACACATCAAAGTAACAAAGCAACCGGATTTCACTTTATTTAAGTTTGGTTAGTGAAATATGCTTTCTGATTGGCTGCTATTGACTTTTAATACAGATGTACAGTGAACTGTTATTTGTTTTCAAACACTCTGATTTTTATTTTCCATTTTATTAACTTGTTGACAATGGCAGTGTCAGCACTAAATTTCATTTATAAGCTCTACAATGCTGTAAGTCTAATTTTGGGAACATTACTGAATGGGAGAACAGATGGATGGCTTTATCATTGTCCTGCTGCTTATTCATTGTACAATCAGCAGTGTTTCTTACCTATAATACAGAAAGCTGCATTAGCCTTCTAGGCATTTTTGCAGAGCCGAGTAAGTAAAAAAAAGTTTCAAAACAAATTGACAATTTTGCAACAAAATAAAGTTCCCCCCATGTATTTAGCTGTTTGGACAGGGTTTAACTTTAACAGATTGCATGTGCAGTAACCCACAGCAATCAGAGGTCATGTCATCCTGTTCTGATTTCAGCAGAATGAATTCTGATTGACTGTTATGGGTTAGTTCAGAATTAGCACTTATTAAAGCCAATGGTAATTTGTCTTACTTTCATTAAGAAGAATTCATTTTATGCAGATTGCTGACAAAACATTGAAGCGGAACAGCTATGTGGTGCTTTCTTATAGAGCAATAGTCATTGCACACAGAGATTTTCCATCTTTTGCATATATAAAACTCTAAACATTGTATACATTATAATTTTTTAATTTTGTGTTTTTCGAGTCAGGTAAAGGCAGGTAAAGGTAAACAGATGCAATTTTTCTCTGTGGTAAATCTGTGTTGTTAGATAAAGACCAAAATGAAGAGTGTAAAAATTAATACTTTGGTGTCTTGTTGTACATACTTAGGCGATAAATCAATGTCTGTACACAGTATCTTATAATATACAAAGTAATTTGAGATTATTACTTCACATTTGTTAGGTGATTATACCAGTATAGCTAAGCCTATAGGTTTTATGCACAGCAAAGCCTAATTTTTGCTCTCCAGGGGGTCATTGCTTCCTTGTCTATACTCTATTTCAACTCTAATTGCCCATTGGGCCAAACAAATAACTAGCTCCACTGGTATATGTGCTTTATGATCTGTCTTAATGTTATGCTAAAATAAATCATGAAACTCCTGATCTTTCTTTAGCAGAGAAAATAAATAAGTAATTTCCCTGCTGTCTCAGTAGACTATCATATGTGGTCTGTCTTTAAGCACTACAGCATTTAAATGCACAATTAATCGATACATTAGCTATTTAGCATGAAGTCTATACCCTGTTCTTACCCTAGAGTGTTCCCATTTTGGTTTATCATTGTAATAATGCAGGACTATGTATCGGTTTTATATAGATGTGGTCGATCAATATTGTGTTAGTGGTATGAAGTGGAAAGTTCTGATAAAAAAGCTGCATAATTAGGGCAATCAATAGTCAGGGGGATAAGTGATCCTTAGGATTAGGACTATTTAAGATGATAGTGCTGCAAAGAAGAATACAATACTATTGTTACTTTTTTATTTATTAGAAAATTTGCAGAAAACTTTTTAAGACATCTTCAAAATAAAAGTACTACTTTGCTGCCAGGCGCTGCCTACTATTCTGTACCTCAGAGTGCTGAGACATTGGTATTGATTTACTAAAGGCAAATAGGCTGTTCATTCCCATAGTTTAGCAAATAAGGTGACACTCTGATGACTTCCAACATCTAATAATGTGTAAGCAAAAATACAGGATTTTTCCCCCCCCCTTCCAAGTGATTGGGTATTCTCGCAAAGTAATTTTCACCACATTCACTAAATTAAAGGAAAAATTAATTCCTCAATAAAATTAATTTAAGAATCTTAGAGCCTATGGTGCCTTTAGTAAATCAACCCCATTGCAGCTATATTCCAGATGCAGATTACAGCCTTCAAAGCGCATTCACACCTCCGTGTCCCATTAGTGACATGGTTCTGTGTGATTAATGCACGCTATTGTGCAATGTACCTACCATGCATTACAGTGCAGCAAGTGTGTTGTGTTGCCATTCATTTGAATGGCACCCCAATGCACCTCCTGGCCACAGTGCACTGCCACATAGCGTAATGTGTGTCAGTGAGCTGCCTCAAGACTGTGCATTACAGTGGAAAAAAGTAGTACATGAACTACTTTTTTCCACTGCATCACAGTGCATGATATTGCAGTACTGTGTGTTGCACTGGGAGGTGCATGTCAAATGAATGGCAATGCACCTGCTGCACTGTAACATGCATTAGGTGTGTTGCGTGAGAACGTGCATTAATTGCATGGAATTGCAATTAACGCAACAAAGAGGTGTGAACAGGCCCTCAAAGTTTGCAAAAGACCCCTTTAAACCATAAAAAATTTTTAAAGTGCAGGACCTAAATGATAGTACTGTTGATGTGTAAATCCCATGATAGTTATGCAAATGCTGATTAAAATTACTTTTCAATAAAAAGCACTACACATAAACAAAAAAATCTTCAAAATCTCTACCAAAGTTAAAGCATTTAAGTTATAATGTTTACAATACAATATGATGTGACAGTATACCTAGAGGTGACAGGTCAACTTACTGGAGACATAAGGGGTGTAAATAAACCCTGCTGTCTCTCCTGATTGTTAGAGATAAAAGTATCCAATATGAATCTCCCAATCCACACAGTGTCACACAGGCCATAAGCCTGGGAGAGCCTGGGAGAGGTTAATGGGGTGCCCATATCACTTTTACCTTGAGGGCATGAATTACAATTACTTTTTCATAATATAAATTAATCAAACAATAAGAAACATAAATAGTGCATATGTTTAATAATACCTTTTTGTAAAAATGTATATAATCTGAGTTTTAATTCATCAGAATTTTCAGGCACTATGTTTCTTATCAATGTTCAAATTATTGATATATATGACATATATGAATTGTGGTCTTTTGGTTTAAAATGTTTATGACCACTAACTTAAAACATTACTTCACATGAATTTCTTTCTGAGCTGTTCATGTATTAAATTAAATAAACGTCATTTTCTAAAGTTCATTCTAAGAGTCAAGACCATTATAATGAATTTGCAGTTTGAATCAATATAATCAATGTGTTTCAAGATCTACTGTTTCCATAATTTGCATGTGTGTGTTTGCGTGCGTGCCTGTGTGCCTCACTGCTTCAAAAACATTATTGTTAATATAAATATTAAAAAGCAATAAGCTGGATGTATGACGCTTTTGAAGTTCTGCTGACGATTTTGTGAAAATAAAACTATTTCTAAAGGTAAGTATTCTTAGAAACTGCAGCTAGGCTTATCTTCTGACTGAAGTTTCATAATCACTGCGGTTTGATAGGTGAGAAATATTAAAGGACAAAATCAATACTCACATAGCATTTAAGATCATGTCTTCAAAGGCAGCTCATTAAGCAGCTTCAAAAGCCTAAAAACATTGTTGTGAAACCTGGGTCTGATGTCATGAAAGTCATGTACCTCTTAAAAAGGATTTGTCTCAGCAAGTGGATGTAAGCTTTAATATATATGTATCAGAATATCCCAATAGCCCTACAGCTCTTTAGCAAGACTCAGTATTTATCCGCATCTCCAAATCCTTCAAACATTGAAAAGTAATATAAAATAATGTTGATTTACTCCGGGAACCACAGGTTAAGCTCACAAAGTTAAAAATGCACTCCTTTAGTTAAGCAGCAGTTTTATTCTTGAGGAAAATTCTGGAACCGGAACACAGACAGCAATGAAATGGTGATGGGGCTCTAGCCCTCCCCTACTCATCTTTATTTTTGTGTTGCTAATGGAGAGTTCCCTCACTTCCTGTCTGGTAAAACATTGTCAGCAGGAAAGGGGGAATTTTTTCCTGGATAGCAGTAAAAACCTGACAGGTATTTTTGTACCCATCCCCACTCTACCTATAATTCAACCAAAAATTCACTGGACATACACTTGCACACACTTTCAATTTCCCTGAACCTGAAATTATGATGTCTGAAGTAAGCCTGAGCTCACTCCACTTCACCTCTTTAAACACTATGGTAGATCAAGATCCTTGTCCCTTTTGACTTTAAACATTTTTTATAATATATTTTGAGATAAATATAGGTCTCTAAGGAAAGAAAGGGAGCACCATTAACTCAGATTTGTCTTAAATGAAATTTGCTGCTTGAGTCCTAGGCTGATGCTTTGAAGT